TAATTAACAACATATTGATGTGTTATTTAAAGAATCAGATTGGAGATGCGGGGAAAATATAAAATTTGGAACATAGTAAACTTGGGAGCAAAAGAAATGTTAAAGAATGAAAGAATGGTGACAAAAAATTTTAGACAAGAAATGTTGAAATACATTTGTTAGATAAAATAAATAAATAAAAGAGATAAAAAAATTATAGTGAAAAAAAATTGAACGAGAAAAAGTTTAGATTGGGAAAAGTTTGAAATATAAATTCCTTAGAGAAAAATTGACAATAAAGAGAAATAAAGAAAACTTATAAAATGCAAAATTTTAGAAGGAGAAAAGTTCGAGAAAATATTAAATATTTTGAGAGAAAAAAAATGAGAGTGATGTGTTAGAACAAAAAGAAAGAAATAAAAAAATATATTAAGATAAAAACTATGGATAGAAATAATAGTAAATATTTCGGAGATGAAAATTTTAGGGAAGGAAAGATAGACTTTTACCCTTTGTTTGACATCCACAAATTTAAAGAAATAATTTTAAATTCTATGATTTGAAATTCTTGAAATTATTTTAAATTATTGATCTGGTTTGGAACAACAATGATTTGAAATAAATTAAATTAAATTTATTTGTTTAGATGTTCGCTGAAAATGAAAAGAAAATATAAACTTTACTGACTTGAGATTTTAATATAAATTTATTAATTAGAAATTAAAATATCACAAGTAATTTACTTTGAAATCTCATGGAATCATGCATCCGACTATTTTGATCTCGAATAAAAGCAGGATTTGAATCGATCATTTAAAATTATAATTTGAAATCGGTCTGGATTTTGATCAAAATACAAAACAGAGCATTAGAGGGAGCAAATTAGGTATGAAAAATTTTAAGGTAAAAAAGAACTTTGCTAGAGAGTAATATGTTAAAAGAAAACAAATTAACGTTAGAAAAACAAAATTATATTTTGAAAAATATAAATATGTATGAAAAACTCCTTTTTTTTAAATTTATTTCGAATTTAAAAAATCTTTTTGAAAAATAAAAAATAGAAAATTAAACGATTATCAAACAGCTAGCTTTTCAAAAACCAAAACTTAAAAATTAAAAAATAGAATTTATAACGGTGAAAACGAAATGGTTATAAAACAAATTTATTTTATTTCTCTAAAATTTTGAGTCCCTTAGAAATTTACTATTATTTGTCTGTTCAAAATTTTCATCTAGATCTAACATATCACTCTCATTTCCCTTTCTTTAAAAACATATCACTGTCCCTAGTTTTTCCTCTTTCAAAATTTTGCCTTTTATAATTTCTTTTTTTTTTTTTATAATCTACTTTTATAACTTATATTTTTCTAATCTATTTTTTTTAACACACATATCTCAATTTTTTCTTTATCAAAATTTTTTCTCTTTCAATTTTCTTTCCCTTTTTAATTTTTATTTTTAACAAATATATCTTGATTTTTCTATCTAAAATTTTTTTCTTACTATAATTTAGAGAAATTTTCTTTCTCTAATGTGTTTTTTTTTCTCTCTCTCAACTTTATTACCGTTCTTGAACTTTTATCTCACTAAATTTTCTTTCTCTAAATATTTTTATTTCTAAAATTTTAATTTTTTTTTAATTCTCTAAACTTTTATTTTCATATATCTACGTTAGGGATGACAAAAAATTCTGAGGTAATACATAACTTGGCAATATGTATCAAATTGATAGGATTAAGGTACCTATATACAATTAAATGGTCGTGAGTTCGAATTCCCACTCCTATATGTTGTATTCAATAGCGCTACAGTTAAAGTATTTTGCTCCGCCTCTAGTGGTCGGAAGTTCAACTTTATTGGTTCGATGTCAATTATTAACCAATTTTGGACTATATATATATATATATATATATATATATATATATATTGGAAGAAAAGAGATCAATGTAAGAGTATATAACAAAAAAGGGAAAAATAAACTTTTTGGTCCCTAAGGTTATCTATTTGGTCCCTGTGAAACATAATTTTGTTCAAAATTAACATGTTTCTAATTCCATATGAAACGATTTAGAACAAAAACTGAAAGGGGAAGATTTTAAACAGTCGTACTAACCTCCAGCCATTGTTGTCGAATCTACGGAGACGAAAAGCGGATTTCTAAGCGCTCACTCTCTCCCTTAGATGGTGTTTGAGAATGAATAGAGAGCAAGCTTAGGGACCCAAATTCTTCACGTAATGTTTCTGTCAGGTTCTTAGGCCATCACTAAGAACCATATAGATATAATAGCTTAATGAGCTGATTTAAGTATGGAGTTAAATGAGCCATCAATGGGTTATATGAAAAGGTTATAACTTACACACTTAATGAAATTAAATGGCCAATTTAATTTGCTAAATGAAATATTTACACCCTTGAAGTTTTAAAATAGACATTTTTGGTCCTTGAATGTTTGAAAAATGGTTCTAAATAATCCTAAACTCATTTAACTTTTAGTTGATCGTCACTGGACCATTTGTTGGTTCTCTCCCTCCTCCTTCTCTTCCTCTCCCCTTCTTTTCCTCTCCTTTTCTTTCTTTTCCATCTCCAACCAACATTGTCGCCATCATTGTCGACCGTTTCTATTCTTATCCACCACTCGATATCAACATCTCCGTATCGTGACTGTAGCCATACGTGGCCATCACAGCGGCGAAAGGAGAGAGAGCTCCCTCTTTCCCTCATTTCAAATCTCAATGGCGCGGTGATGGCGACAACGATGGTGGGCAAGGATAAAAGCGATCAGGAGTGGTGTGACATGACCCGTCCCAAAAGACCTACTAGTCCTCGAACGAGTCGCGCTAACCACAGACCTCGACTAACTATGAAGTCCATGGTCAACTTCTTCTTAACTTCGACCTGTAATTTGACTAACAAACTCTGAATGGATGCATAATAAAATAATAATCTTTAGAGAACAACCTTTCTTACATCCACTCTAAACATTCTTTTCTATCAAACGAATGTAGAGAAAGCTTCTTACAAACAACCTAACGTGAATCCAGAATGTCATGCAACTCTTGAACTATTATAGGTGGCAGAAACTGATCTACTTTCTCCTTGAAACTCATAGACTCAGAAAGTTAAATACAATCTACGAGAAAACAAAAGATAAACAGTGAGCTAGGAAGTTCAGTGAGTGGTAAGTTAATAAGAAAATATTTTCATAAAACTTATTTCTTAAACAATTGGAAATCAAGCTATTTAAAACATTATAAAATTGGAGTAATATAATAAACTTCATAAAAACTCAGTGTACTTACTCATAAAAAACTTGTAACATTCATTCTGAACAAACCAACAAACAATGCTTTCAAGTCTAGGATTTGGACTAGGATTTTGAATTCGGATTTGGCCCTAATCGCCCTGGCATTCCCCTACGTCCCCTACGACCTAGTTACGCCAACTTCTCGACCTATTCTAAAAACACATTCTAAAACATGTAAAACAGTCTTCTTTCAAACATAATACAGCTAGATAATACTGAACACCACACATGTATCCATATTCTATTCTGGTCTACTAGCATAGAGTAATCTCAATGCACAGTAGAATAATTCTCTCAACGCGTGGAGTAAAATAGTTCCAAAGACCTTCTATTTCTGGGTATACTATAGAAACACATTCATATAGCATATAAGTTAATCACCTAGATACAATAATATGGTGGTTTGAAAACTATACTCATTCTCATAAATTATTCTAAAAAAATTCTTTCTAAGAACTTTTCTAACTTTCTCAAATCAATTCTCAAATATTTATTTGTAAATACATTTCATGAAATTCTAAAATCATTTTCTGAAATCTCTTTCCAAATAACTTTCATAAGCTTTAAACATTTCATTAAGATCGTAAAAGCAGTCTTAAATTCTAAAAAACGTTTCTAAATTATCAAACAAACATTTTTATTTCATTCTTAGCATAAATGCTAAGGACATACATAATATATATAATTTTTCGAAATTCTTTATTAATAGATACTAGAAAACGTATAATAAAGTAACCACTCACGAATTCTTTAAACGGGGTCATCCTCTGCTCCAATTTTTCTGCCTTACCTCAAATATCAATCCAATACCACATTAATTCTAACTTAATTCAAAATCTAAATTCTAACATATTATTATTTCCAACCTAAATCACATTATTTTCAAATTACCCCATAAATCCAATTTTACAACTCATTCTCTCTTTTTATTAAAAACTCACTACTTCTGCCAAAATGAGCGTAGCTCAGCAGTAATTGACATATACCTCTAATTAAGAGGTTGTGAGTTCGAATCTCCTACCCAACATGTTGTATAAAAAAAAAAAACTCTTCAATTTCTCTTTCTCAATTCACCACGTGCTTTAAAAAAACGACTCATTATTATAAATTATTCACAAAGTCGATTGGATGGTTCTTTTCTCTCTGTTTTGGGATATTTTTCCACCCAACAAAATTGAAAATGACATACAGTTGAGAAAATTAATAATTCTGACATTTAAAAATGGAAAGCAAAAATTATTATTGACACCTACAATATCTATCCTTATCGTTATGGTTTTTATCATTTTATTTCCTAAAAATAATAGAAATTTCAACATTATAAATAGGTTGAAACCTGAGGGAAGGATACACAACAAATATTTGCGTATTAGTTTCTATAGAGAGTAAGATTTAGACATTTTACATTTTTTGTTTTAATATTTCTATTTCTCATACATTTCATAACGTTTCAATCACTTGTTTTTCTTTATGTTTTCTTTTTTGTTTTTTTTTTAAATAATTAATCCTCCAAATTATTATTTATAAATTTTAAGAATCAAAATTTCCCTTTTTATTTTGTTTCATGATTCTAGTTATTCTTATTATTTTCTAGCTCATTAAAAATTTGAATTTTATTTTCTAAAGAATAGTTTCCTGGAGAAACTATATTTTCTTTTCGTCTATTTTTTTTTCGAGACATTGAAAATAAATGTTACCAAATAGAATTATATTATTTTAGTTAGAAAGAGATAACACAGCAAATTAAAAGTGTTACCTGTAGACATTTTTCTTCATTTTCCTAAATATATAATAATGAAAGTGGGTAACAAGATATATATTTTTTTCTTTCTTTAACTAATTTCAGAGAAATTTGGAGATGGCGATGAATGTGTTTGGCACTCCAGTCACAAATGCAACTCTAGAAGCCATGCCAGAATATGAAGGAAAAGAAATAACACGTATGGATAGGGCACATGTGGCACTTAATAAGATGCATACTGAAGATAAAGATAAAAATGCTCGAGAATACGTACATAATTTGAAAGAAGAATGGGGAACTGGAGTCTCTACTCTTTGCTTACTTTACAATGCTACTGGTGATACGATAACATTTGTCCTTGAACACAATTGGCATGGTCATGTTGGACCTGCTCCTTACCCAATTCAGATTGCAAATGGTCAATGGGGTGCTTTCCTTCATGTCAAAACTTCTGGAGCTGCTACCGGCTCTTCTGCTGCTATTGTATATCGTGGTAAAAATAATAATGATGTCGGTTGTGATTGGATGGCAGCTTGGTCCAATCCATGGAACCCAGCATCTTCGAGCAATACGGTTAGCAATTTTTTGCTCTTTTCTTTGAAGCCATTCTTTTTTCTAACCTATGTTTTATAAGAGTTTCAACTATAAAATATTTTCAATAATGGTTCGTGTTTAAATTTCATTGAGCTTTTGGTTTTATTCAACATAGGTCTATGACTTTTAACACATCTATTTTAGTCTTCGAATTTTATTAATTTCTCCAAAATCTAGATAACGATAAAATAACAATAAAATAAAGTATTTCCGAGATATAAATAATTCAATTTTAAATTGGGAAAAAACATATTTAATTATTTTTCTAATAAATTGCTTGTTTGCTAAACTATCTAATATATATATATATATATATATATATATATATATTTTCTTGTGAGAAAAGAATGTGAAGTTATCAATTTAAATTTATATAACTTTTTACGGTTTGACATAGACTTTTGGAATAATATATAAAAACTACTTCTAGTTTTAGCTAATCAAAAGTACTTTTCTGTTTTATTACCTTACTAAAATACTTTTAATAATTATAAAAATACAACTTTTTTCCCCTCCAAAAATGACTTATAAAAAAGTAGATTTAGTTGGACGTACCACTCTAGGAAAAGTTAACCTCACTCTTGATAACAAATAAATTAATCTAATATAAAATCCTTTAATTTTGCCTTAATTATTTTGTAAAAATTTCAAATTCTATATATTTTTTACATATTTTGTGCATTATGCCTATTTAAATTTTGTATTTTTAAATTATTTATATATCCCAATACTTTCAAAATTATGCTTACCATTCATCTCTAATATATATCATTAAAAATAGTAGACACAATGAAGTGACATTGATATGTCAGCTACTGATTTTTTTTTTTCACTGAAAAAAATTTTTGTACAACTAATTTTTGTTGCAATTTTCGTCCTAATGAAATTTGTTATTCATTTCTATTCCTTCCAATTATTTGCCAAATCAACTAAAATATATATCTAACTCCTTTCAAACTTCAAAAATCATATATTTTTATCATAGCTCAATGAATACGACATTAAAGGCTCCGTATAACATTTTCATTTCTAGTTTTTTGTTTCTCATTTTCAATCTTTGGATTGTTAATTAAGAAACATTTACAAAATTTTGTAGAACTTTTGGAAATAACTAAATCAAGTATTTTTGTTTCTTGTTCCGATTAAAATTTTTTCAAAACATAAGTGGAAATATTATTTTACTAATCTTGACTTTTAAATGTATAAAAAAATTTAAAAATGAAGAAAACTTAAAAATATTTAATATTTAAATTTTAAAAAATTAATTTTCATATCTAAATTTTCATTTTTAACTTTAATTTAATAGGATGTGAAACAAAAAATGGTTACCATTATATTTATGTTTATTTCAAAAAAAAACCAACAATAAGCAAGTAACAGTTACCCAACACAGTTATATTTTTATTTATTAAAAAAAGAGGAAACGAGAAACAAGAAATAAGAAACGAGAAACGAGAAATGGAAGTAGAAACGTTACCCAACGAGTCTTAAATTATCTTTATTAAGATCGAGGATTCTATCTCCCGCCTTACAATTTTATGTAACTAAAACAACAAAACACTAGAATGGCAGGTCTACATTTAGTTTACCGTTTTAACTTAAGAAAATAAAGAAAAAGATAATTCTATATTTTTTTTATTATTCACCTATTATATGTGGTGGTAGGCATATACTGAGATTCGTGACGAAGGACATTATGAGAAGGAAGACAATTGGAACTACATCTCTGACTTACTATACGATTCGGGTATCACTAAAACAGACATTTGGAATGGATGCAAATCGAGTGTGATCACAGGAAATGGCACTAGTCCTGAGTATGAGGCAACATTCACCCTAGATGGGGCTGAGACTAAGCTCCTCGATGCTTGATACGCGACTTTTTAATAATTGCTCTAAGCAATATATAACTTATGTACTACTAAATCCAAGTATCTTTAAATAACAGCTTCTATCTTGAAAGTTTGTGGAGTTCAACAATGGTCTCTAGTATCTCACTTTTACCTGCACAGAGGAAAATATATATTTATTTTATATTTTATTAATTTATCACGTTTTAATATTTCAATTTAATTATAATTTAACATTTTGTGAAAAATTGAAGATATTAAAAAGTGCAATTTTAGAGGATAATGCAGACTAAAAATTGGGGAGAGTTAACGGATAAAATATAGATCAATTATTATGGCAGGACACTTCAAATTGAGAACTATGAATTTTTAAGATATTTTGTACAGAAATATATAGTCAAATTAAAAAATATTACATAATCCTAAATTGATTAGCAACATTTTTATTTAATTTATTTTCTTTTAAATATGATTTCCCAATTAGTTAAGAATTTCTTATTATAGATAATTATGGTTTGTGGATAAAATTAATCTCTATAAATAGAGGAGCCCATCCCAATTCCAACAAAAGTATTTATTATCCTAGAAGATTCTCTCTCTAGCATGATTGGCTAGACTTTCATTCATCCAATTCAATGGTGATTCAAGTCCGATTGTGAGTTTGAGAGGCTCGAATTACATAAGGATTTCTTCTTTTTCAAGTATTATTTTTTTATTGTTCTTATTGTTTGTGAACAATTTATATTAATTAAATTGATGCCTTAATTCATATGAATTGTTCTATTACTACCCATGAGTTTATGATTCGTAATTGTCATGAATGATTGAAATAAGTAGTAAGAAGTTGACTTATCTGTGTATTTATGACTTTTCTATATTATATAGCTTGCATAACAGCTCTACGAAAACAAAGGGACAAAATTAATTAACTTCCAGCTATCTCAAATTAATTGATTTTGGTTTAGTCATTCTAATTGTCTTTAATGTTATTATTTGATTAATATTAAATGCTATTGTGCCAGTTGATTAATTAATAAGATTTGATTTTGATACTTGGTCTAAATTAATTAAATTATGAGAATTGAAATTTATTACGGTTGTTTCGAGTAAGTAAACTAAGTTATTGAATTAAGAAATCAACTTTGTGTAAAGCTTGTGATCAAGATTACAATTAGATCAAAATCACACCTTTGGATTGGAAGTTTGATAAGATTGACTTTCGTTTCAATTTTAGTTTTTTTTTATTTCAAAATTAAAATTCATAATCCCCATATTCTATTGAAACATTGAGAAATTAATTTCGTCGGTTTCTTTGGGATTTGACCTGGTCTCATACTTTTACAAGTTAGATTTAGTAAAATAGTAATTATTTTGGAAGGTCTCGACAACCCTTATCAAAATTGGCACCGTTGTTGGGGAATCATTATTATTTTATAATTGTTCAATTTAACTGTTTAGAACTCGTTTTTCTCAAAATATAGATCGTGAAATTAAAAAGACATTGCACCAATTAAGAAGGGAGAGAAGACGACGTTTGGAATTCAACAAAGAGATGGTGAACATAAAAAAACTTGCAGCATTGATTTGAATTATCAAAGTCTTTGTATAACTTTTCTTAATATTGAAAATAATTTTGAATTAAAATTTTGGTTAATAAGCTTCTTATTTTTTCGTGGATGTCCAGGTCAAGATCCTCATAAATATTTGAAAGAAGTTCATATTGTATGTAAAGAGAATGTACGAACTTTTGGCCAAAAACACAGCCTTGTTGCTGTGAAAGGGTAAAGATAAATTATTTGTGAAGTTTTGACATTCCCCTTTAAATACAACACATAGAGAGCAACATAAAGAAAAGGAATGAAACCATTTGGATAGCTGAATAATGCAAGTAAGCTTATAAAAAATGCCAACAAGGAAATGAATTAAAGATGGGCTAAATACACAAAAACGGGGAGAAGAAAATTAAACTACAATCGTGGACAATATTCGTTTGAGGTAAGAAATCAATCTCATTGAGGGATAGATGGTGCAGGTATGCATGCCTTTATTTAAGGAGAAAATGAGCTGTCTTGTCAAACTTGATTTGTAGGCCATTGGCGTTTGGGTGAGGCTATCCTTTGGCAATGTGAGATAACTTGGTTGACCATGTTTATCATACTATTTTGCTGAAGTTGTTGGTTGATTGGATCTATGATGTTCCTTTACATTCGTTCTCAAAATTGAGGTAGGGAGAGCTCGGACGCCAAGTTTGCGACCAAATTTATGGAACATGGCTTTGGGAAGTGGTCTGGTGAGAAAATCAACAAGTTGTTCATGAGATGACATGTAATGTGTGATCAATGAACCAAGGGCGACCTTTTGTCTAACAAAATGATAATCTAGTTTGATGTTCGTTATGGCATGAAAGATCAGGTTGATGAACATCTGAAGTGCACTCATACTGTCACTAAAGAGCTCATGAGGCTTGTGAAGTGGAATGCCTATATCTCTGAAAAGGAAGGTTATAGGTAAGTTCAACTGTGACATTGACCATAGCTTGATATTTAGCCTCAGAGCTTGATCGTGAAATTTTTTTGTTGCTTCTTTGAGGACCATGAGATTAAAATTAAAGTGGCTTTGTACAAGAAGTAATATTTGAGACTTCAACAATAAATAATTGGCTGCACTAAAATTTATTGAGATTAAACTTGAACATTGATCGAAAGACTAAATTGTAAGAGATGTTTCATTCTTAGCCATTGTGGATGGATTGTTGTTGTTTTTCCTTAAGATTTTAAGACTCTCTACGTGTATGTTCTAACCATAAAAAGAATGAAAAAACTTTTGGTAAAAAACACAACCTTGTTGCTAGGAAAGGGTAAAGATAAATTATATGTGAAGTTCTTACATTCCCCTTTAAATACAACACGTAGAGATCATAATAAAGAAAAGGAATAAAATCATTTTGATAGCTGAATAAGGCAAGTAAGCTTATTAAAAATTGCAAAGAAGGAAATTAATTAAAGAAGGGCTAAATAAAAAGAAAAAAAAAGAAGGGAAGAAGAAGATCAAACTACAATCGTGGATAATATTCATTTGAGGTAAGAAATCAATCTGATTGAGGGACAGATAGGTGCACATTTGTAGGCCTTGATTTAAGGAGAAAATGAATTGTCTTGTCAAGCTTGATTCGTAGCCGTTGGAGTTTGGGTGAGGCTATCCTTTGCTGATGTGGGATGACTAATGTTTATCATATTGTGTTGCTGATGTTGTTGGTTGATTGGATTTGTGTTGATATAGTTGATAGCTTCCTTTACAGTATGCTCTAGAATAAAACCACATGGAATGACTCAGGAGCAAATAAATCTTATAGCTTTTCCCTCTTTGATCAAGCAAAAGCTTGCCTCTATTATCTACTTTTTGGATCAATCACAACATGGAACAAGATGAAAAGACTATTCCTAGATAAATTATTTTCCTGCATGATAAGTCTTGAATTTTAGGAAAAAGTGTTTACAAATTGTGCATGTTTAGTGTCTTCTGAAATTAAATACATATGTTTCATGCATTGAATCCAGTATAAATGAGACTATTTCTTAGGAAAGACTTCTACACTTAGTTTTGGATAAATAGATGGAATTATGAGGAAATATATATGTTTTATAGGGAAAAAGGAAGGAAAAAGCAGCAATGCACCTGCTGCAGATGACACAGAGGCTATCTTAAAGCTAGCAGCGATGCATCTGGCGCATCGCCAACACTCAAGAAACTTCAGCAATGCGTCTGGCGCATTCTCCACCTACAAATAAGGGCTTTTGTTGATCGGGTAGTTGGAAGAAATCTCAACCCATCCCTTGATCCGTGCAACCAAATGCTGTTAAAGCCCCATTGTAGCTCATCCACTCAAATACCCAAGATTTTCTCCACCAACTTGCAAGGTTTAGCTTATAAATACCAAGTTTCATCAAGCTTCAAAGGGGAGCTCACTTGACATTTAAAATTCCAGCTTGTTTCCTCTCTAGAATTTACGTTTTTATAGTTTGTTTTGTCTTTAATTTTGCTCAACATTCCTTGAATTATTTTTATTGCAATTCCTTTTTGTTGTTATCATTTTCTTTAGATTTTGGTTCTCGATTTTAATTTAGCTATTGTAATTACTTCTTAAATTTAATATGATATTTTATTTCAATCCACTTCTTATTATTTCTATTTTTCATGTTTTTATGAGTAGCTAATTTGCTTTTCCAACCCTCCTACGAATGACTTAGTTCCCATCATTTTAATTACATCTATCAGATAGCACGACGTTTACGCTCAAATTGGTTATCTTGATTGAGTTAGTTAATCTAGTTGATTTTACTTCTTGGCCACTTGTTTAAATTACAACAGTTGAGTTTAATTCTGAAAAGGTTAGAGTCAACGGAGTTCATCAAGATAAAATGGGAAGTTACTTAGACATAAGAACTTAAACAAGATCCTAGTTATAGGCTCTCTTACCCATTAAACGTAAGTTGGAGTTTTAATTACTTAGGATTATTCTAGTATTTTACAGACATGTTTAAATACTAGTCTAATCTTCTAAACAAACCAAAAGCGGTATGAAATAGGAGTTGAACCAGTTTGCAATTAGAGAGTAAATTTAGTGTGAGATTCTGATAGGTGTAATTCATTTCTTTTTGAACTAGTCAGTAGTATGAGGGTTGGTTTCAATATTCTATTTTATTAAATTATAAAACGTGCATTTCAACCAACCAATTTTTATTCCCAAACTCGATTGCACATTCAAGCAGTTTACAAAATCAATTTTAAAAGAAAACTAGTCGATGTAGAGATGAACTTGGAATATTTCCATATTATTACTTGTGACAGTGTGCACTTGCACTCGTCCCTGTAGCTATTAAGCAGAGGCGCAACACTACATCACAAGTTACAAATATTAGAAAGGAAATTTTATTGAATCACACAGATCAATAGGGAGACATTGTTCGAGTACTATGAATGATTTAAGAAATTATGCGATAGTTTGCCCCACCATCAAATTCATGATCAACCCCTCATCCAATATTTTATGAAGGATTATTACCAATGGATAGGATTATGATCGATGCAGCCAGTGAAGGAGCATTGGTAAACTAGACATCCAAAGAA